AAACCACAGTAGAAAATGGAAACCAAAGTTTCTTCCTTCTTGCTAGCCATTCTTCTCAAAATTAGCCACTATTAATGGTTCTTTGTGTATATATTCAAATATAATTTGTGCACATGCTTCTATGTAAGTATGTGTACATCTCTTGTGTCTGCTCTATAATTGCACAGCATTCATACCCTACCCTCTGTTCTGTATCTTGCATATCTTTCCCTTAACAAAAATCTTAGAGGTCTTTGATAGTACACACAGACCTACACTTCCCTAGTGTCTCCAACAGCATTCCGTCTGTGGAAGTACCAGTGTGAATTATTAGTCTCCTATTGATGGACATTTGGTTTATTTCTCTCATTCTCTTTCATTAACATAAATAATGCCATGATGATCATTTTAATACACCTTGACATACTTTTTGTGAATACATTCATAGCAGTGAATTCACTGCATCATGGAGTATGTACATTTGAAGATATAACCAAATATATTTCACATATATTTACCAATGTTAGGCTTTAGCAAGTTTCTGATTTTTGTAAAATTTGACTTACCAATCAAAATTAATTTACAGAAGTTGAAAATTAGTGTCTCAAGACTTTGATCTGCACTTCATTCACTTGCTCAATCCAGAAATATTTTTTGAGTGCTCACAGTGTGCCAGACATTTGTGCAGTCTTTCATATTAAATCTTACAGTTTTAATAAGCTATTTATATATCTTCTTCTAGGGACTATTTATATCCTGCTGCAATTTTCTATTAGGTTGTTCTTATTCCTTTTTCAGATTTGTAGGTCCTATTTGTGAAGGCATCTACTACTTTCCACACACATTGCAATTTTCCCCTAATTTATTTTTGGCATGCTGAATTTGGAATTTTTCAAGTTTGTTTTTCTATAAAGAAATGTTTATTATCTATATAGTAAAAAGTAATATATCTCTATTTCTGGAAACCAGGTTTTGAATCTGACTTAGGAATGTCTTTCCCATCCAAAATTATAAATTAATACACCCATGAATTATTTTACTATTTTTACATTTAAATTTTCAACATTTAAATATTTGATTCATTTAGAATTTATTACAAGAAATACTGAGATCCAGATTTATAACTTTCAAAATTGGTGCTCAGTTTTTCCATTTTGAATATTTACTACTTCTACATCCATTTGAAATGTTACCTTTATTCCTTCCTAAATCCACATTTTCATCTTCAGTCACTTCTGTGCTGCTTATTATGTTCTATTACATTACCTACTTATATAATTTGTACATTTTATGTAGTATTAATGTATATCATACACAAAACATTACAATGTTTTGATTCATGTTTAAGATACATTTTATTAAGTTTTTTTAAAGAATGTTCCTAATAATCTGTACATTTTTCTAGATGAACATAGGTATAATTCTATAAAATTTCCTCCAAATTATCTTAATGATATTTTTTGAGGATTGAATTTATTGAGGATTTTGATAGTTTATTTTTTTCCTATCAAGAATTTGCAGGGGCTGGAGCAGTAGCTCAGTGGCAGAGCACTTGCCTAGCATGTATGAGGCACTGGGTTCAATACTTAGTACCACATAAAAATAAACATATAAAATAAAGGCATGCTGTCCATCAACAGCTACAAAATTTGAAAAAAAAACAGGATATGCATGTTCTCATAAAAATAAATGGAAGACAAATAGAGTAGGGGAAGTGGGCCAAGGAGAACAAGGAGAGAAGGGAAAAGAGAGGTCCTGGGGAATCAAATTATATTATTATATTGTATGCATGTATGAAAATGTAACAATAAATTCCAGTATTATATATAATTATAATGTACAAATAAAAGTATTTTTTTTAAAAAAATCATGCATGTTTTCTGTATCTCTTTTTTTTTGTGTGTGTGTGTGTGTGGGTTATTGGGGATTGAACCCAGGCCCAAACACATGCTATGCACTTTTATGTACTTTATCACTGAATTATACTTTCAACCCTTTTTTTTTTTTCGGGGGGTGGCGAGGGACAGGCTGGTGCTGGGGATTGAACTCAGGACCTTGTGCACATAAAACAAACACCCTACCAACTGAGCTATATGTCCAGCCCTTGTTTTCTATCTTACAAAAAAACTTTATAAAGATTTTTTTTCATAGATAGTGTATCCATGTGTCCTAATTCTATTGCCATAATAAATTAAATCCCTTTTACTTTAAAAAACTATTGCTTGTTTGCAAATTAAACTTATAATTAGCCCTCTAATTAAATTCCTTTAATAGTTATTATTTTCCAAGAGACATCATTGAAAAGAATCATAATTTTCTTTCTTCCCCTTATTTATGGTTCACTTCATTTTCCTGTCTGATTGCATTGGCTAGTATTTCCCAGTATATTGAAAATAACAGTGGGAATATTAGTTGTGCTTTCTTGCTCTTAAATTTTATGAAACAGTTCCTAGTGTTTCGTCATTAAACATGATAAAGTGTTAAGTTTCACATGGCTACTGTATCCCCATTCCTTAGGTTTCAGCTCAAAGGTTGTCATCAGGGACACTGATCTAAAATACATGATCTAATAGATTCATGATCTAAAATCCCTCATCCCCATTTCTTTGTTAAACTCTAAATTATTACCTTATTTTCTTCACTGCACTAACTGCATTATTTATTGTATTACATATTGAAGCCTTAATTAATTTTGTTATGGTTACTTTTTTCGTTTACCTTCACTTAAATATAAGCTCCACTGGAACAAGAACCTGGTCTATTTAGTACATAGTATCTATTTCTTGGTCAGTGAACCTTCCATCTAGGAAACAAAAATGAATGCATTTATATTTCCTCTCACCTTTTCACTGCCATTTTAATATTATTTCAACATTGCCATATTTTACTACAATTTCATACCACACTCCCCCTAGACTAGATTTAAATTGCTTCAATATCACCAACAGTGCTATTGTAATCTTTAAGGTCTCATAGGTGCAATAATAGCCTCTGGCCCTTTCATTAGGCATTTCTTAGAACTTTAAGGACATTGCTTCATTTTCTTTTGTCAAGAGTTGTTGCTTGGGCTGGGGTTGTGGGTCAGTGGCAGAGCACTTGCTTACCATGTGTGCAGCATTGGGTTCGAACCTTAGCACCACATAAAAATGAACAGAAAAAAATAAAGGCATTCTGTCCATCTATAACTACAAAAAAAATTTTTTTTAAAAAAAGAGTTGTTGCTCAAACTGGTGTCCTCCCTCACCTCCCTTGTTCTGCTAGTGGAGTCAAGATGTGCTCATTATTTGTTTGCTTTCATTCTTCTCCCTTCTCAGCACTGCAGGAAAGTCCCAATGTTTCTAGGTAGTCTGCCAACGCCTGGAATTCTCCCTATCTTGGCTTCCACTGGCTCCTTGCTCATTGCCTTTTCCTCAGATCCAGCTTCCTCCACAAAGTCCCCTTTGTCCAGTCTCAGCTCTCTCCTTTGTCATTTCTTTCAGTCAGGCCTGTCTTGTTTCTATCCAGCTTCACTCCCTCATATTCCTTTTGAAATACCTATAGGAACTTTCATTTCCTGATTGAACCTTAACTCAGAGATGATTAGATGTATTAAACTAGTTAAAGCAAACACTAAACTTTACCCTACATTTTCTATCCTCCTTTCTCTCTGGCCACCACTTTTGGTTACAAGACTGTGTGCTTTTCATTTTGATTGTGTAGTAGTATCCCAGCTCTTTTAAGGAGAATATTTCTTCTACAATTTCATTTTTCATATTGTATCTTTGAAAACTTTGACAGTTGCCATTTATGGGGTTTCATGTGACTGTTCAATGGTAATCATACCCATTTCAAAAGCATTTTTTAACTGGTTCAGAGAATTACTCTTGATCTCATCACATTTCATAATGGAAACAAGACGTATAGATTTTGTCAACTGATAGTCAAGTATAATCATTTTTATTAAAAAAGCCATTTGCTGCTTGTTCTGTGACACAAGGCTCCAAAGCAAAACAAAAAAAAATTTCTGGTTTTGTCCAAAGCCCTTTGATATTTGTAATTTATTCAAAAATATTTATGGAATATTTATTACATAGGAGCTGTTGATTGTGAAGAAGTGATGGAAAGTGCTTTTAGACAATGAAGATAGGCCTCTAATATGACAATGAGAGTGTAGCAAATTGAAAATTTCTAAACAGAACTTTCAAGGCAAAGAAAGTACAATCCCTGGACGGACTGCAATGAGCAATGGAATACATGGTGGGTGAGCCAGGGACATGGTAGTGTTCAGAAGCTTGAACTTGAAAGCCATGGTAGGTGCTTTGAGTCTTGTCCTGAACCTGAAGTCACAGAGGATTAATAACAGAATGACAAGGAGGTTTACATTTTACTTTGGCAACTACCATAGAGAATTGACTGTGTATATGCAGGGATAGGTGGTGGGATGGACAGCCTGGGAGCAAGGTTAGATTGCGGCAGTGGCTTTCTGAAAGATGAATTGGATTCCAGTGGTCAATATCGTATTAGATCTGAATATTTTTGAAGACAACCTGCAAGTGGATTAAATGTGGGGTTTTGGAAAAAATTGACTTGGGTCTTGAACAACTGAGGGAATGATGGTTATCAAGTACTGGAAATGGGAACACTAGAGAAGCAGGTTTTAACGACAATCATGTTTAAACAGAGAACTTAGAGTATCTAAAATGACCATTGCTGGGAATGAAGATGAGGGTTAATCCAGGTGTAACTGACATGAATAGGATTTTTACAGGCAAACCTAAATGAGATCACCAAGGCAGACTGCTTTAGAACACTCCTGAAGTTCAGGGATCAGGTAAAAGGGGAATACAGCAAAAATGGGGCTCAAATACTAGGCAAGTGCTACTTCACAGCCCTCAGAATTTTCATTAAAATAGTTAAATTAACAAGTTACGGACTACTGAAATACAACTATTACATTTTAGTGTAATCTACTAGTTTAAATTCTTATACAAATGCAAATTTTCCATTAACTTCCCAAACACAGTTCTGAAATAACTGCACAATATAATCAAAACATATTTATTACTTTTTAGTGTCATTTTTGTACACTCCCGTACAAATACAAGAATATAGGCATATTTACAGGTATCGAAAAGAAATCTGTATATTCAAACCCAACTTCTAAATACAGTAGCTTCAAGTCCTGAACTACAAGAGTCTAGTATGCACTGAAATTACGGGCCGTCCTTCACTCTCCCCTTTGAAGTAGTCCCTTTAAAGCTAAGGTTGTTTTCAAACAGAACATTAAAGTTTTTGAAATGGAGTGACTCTTTCCAAGATTTTAAATGATTCCCTTCTAAGATTTTACAAGCATGGGCGGGGGGTATCTAAATAATTATATATATATAATTTCTTTTTTTAAGAAGAAAAGGCCACTCTAGCTATTAAAAGAAGTCTTGAAAAAATGGTGGCAAATGGAGTTCAGTGTGCTTAAAATTTGAAATCACGGTCTAAGTTTTAAAGACAAGTTTGGTTAAAGGGGAAAAGCGAAAGCTGGTTCTTCAGGGTAAAGACTAACAGGCCCACCATCATACTTACTACAATTGCAGTTCTTAAGATTTGAATATAGACTATTTGTCTTTTAAAATGGGGGGACCTCTAAAGTTACTAGGGCTATTCAGTATCCCTATTTTCACATTATCTGAATGAAGGTACATGTTCAAATTCCTAACAAGCCAACTAAATAAATATTCCAGAGTATTGTGCCTATTCTAGTGGATATTCCCTAGTTACCTCAAGTAGGTTAGGAGCTGGACATCATGTCTGTATTAAAGTGCAATATTTAAAATAATTTACTACAGAATCGTAAGTGGATCAAATATTATAAAAATATTTCCACAAGAAAAATTCTGTTTAAAAGTTTACCACTAAGAAATTTCAAATTAGGCATTTTGTCCTGAATGTGTGACTATTCAAGAATATAAGCAACTTTTAAAACAAAGGGACAGAGTGACAAACTATTTGCAAACAAAACTTAAATTCACCTAAACCACAAGTTGCCATCTGATCAGAAAACATTTCCTATAACATTACACATTGCTCATTTTTTTCCCCCAGAAAAGATACAGTAAGAGTTCTAGCTTAACATAGCTCTTCAGGGTTTCATTTACATGCACTAATGAAGTTCAGCAAATGGTAACAATCTCACAGGTATGAACATTTCATGACAATATGATTCATGACATTTATCTTTTCTTACATTTAAAAGTATTAAGTTACAAGAAAAAAGAGTCAGCTTCCAGTATAAGATTTTAATTCCTCTCAGTAACACTGGAACATTTTTGTGTATTTCAGAAAACAATACTATTGCTTACATTTTACTTTTTATATTTACTGAAAATTTCGAATGTTCATTTCTATAGTATAAATGATTAAAGCACAAGAGCAATTTTGAAATTTTATATCTCAGAAAGTAATAACATTGATGTTGATGTAAAACATCAAAAATAAGCCCTTGGTGCTGGCAGTTCTGGAAGCACATATCTGTCTCAACAAAAAACCCTCTAAGATGTTAAAAATTTTGAAGTCGGGCTGGGGTTGTAGCTCAGTGGTACAGTGCTTGCCTTGCAAGCGTGAGGCACTGGGTTCGATCCTCAGCACCACATAAAAAATTATTTTAAAAAATTGAAGTCAAAAGACTTTTCTGCATACAGAAACTCTTTGTCATTTGATACAATCTGGCAGTGTCATGCTAAGGCCATGTGACTAACATTTTTAGCAAAGAAAAAAAAGCCAAGGTAAATTATAGTAGCAATAGTTTCTTTTTTTATTTTAATATACTTTAGGAAACAATATACAAAGCTGAGCTTTCCCACCATTTCCAGATAACAGCAGGAAGCTCCAATTACACAAATTTAGCGTTTTGTGATGGCTAAGAACAGCAGTCAGCACCAGACTTGAACAGTTAGCTACAACACAAACATCCTTCAAAATGAAATGTCATAATAGCAAGACAGGTAAACCAGGGTTTAACAAAAGACAACCACTGGGGAAGTGACTTAATCATTTCTTGTTGAATTTCATATTTCATTAAATATCTTATACACAATTTGTTAATGTTTTAAACAAAACTTCCCTTAAGGAATTATATCAATTAAGTATAAATAGTCAACAAGAATAGTTCTGATAAAGAATCCCCAGGTAGTTCAAATTCTAATATGCACTGACCGAAGGAAAAGAAAAATAACAATTTGTTGTTTGTTTCAACATGTTTATTACAACAGTTACAATTCACATCTGACTAGCTTTGTTTCTTTCCTCTTTCCCCTCCCACAACCATGTTCATTGGGCCATTTCCTTATATTTGAGCAATCAATGTACTTTCAGCACACATGCCCAGCAGTACTTTTAAGTCCATTCTTACAGGGTGCAAAATGGATTTCAATAATTTATACAAACAAGTGGGTTATGCTCAATCACTGCAATTTTAAGCTACTGTACACAGGAATGAAAAGGTTATAGAAAAGTGCCATAGCAACAGTGCCTTAAGAAAGGAGAAAAAGAGGAGCCTTAAAAAAATGGATAAAATCAGATCAAGGATTTCAGAGGGAAATGGAACACATGGGAAATGAAAAACATTTCTCTGCAAAACAAATGGAGAAGCACTGCTCTTGATCAGGTGCAAGTGTGGAAACAGTTGTTTCATGATATTTTGTACACTGCCCATATGGTTCAAAATCGTATCCTTAGACACAGATCGCCTGGCGCTTGCACTGAATTTTTGAAAATGCAAGATTTCTGAATGATAAATTAACCCCCCCAATTTTTCTTTTTTAAAAAAGCTAATTTTGCAGACAGGTTTACATGTAAAAGGCTAGGTATTTAGCCACCTTAGCATTGATTAGTTTTGGATGTCTAAGCTCTGTTACACATGGCTTCCCATGGCTTCACTCTACAAAACATATTTACAACGTGAAGAATACATCTACAAGAAATCTACATTTCAAGGGTTTTACAAATCAATCTTGTATCTTTCCCCTGAATTGACTCTCACAGACCCCGTCCCCTTGTCATTTCCTTTGCCCAGCTTAACGGTCCAAAGTCTACTTAAATGCAGCTCAAAAATGTTAAGATTGGGCAACAGATTTACAGTTCCTGTACTCAAAACCATGTGCAATTATTCACATCTTCACACCATGAAGGAATTCTGATTTTTAAGCTTTTCGAGTTCCTTAATTTGTTGTCTCAAAAATAGTATCCTGAAAAATAAAAACAAATATCAGAATATGTGTGTACATGTAGTGATGAAGACAAACCAAACTATGGAAGCAACTTATAAAATTATAATCAACATTATACAATTCAAATTTGTATAGTTTGTATGGTTAAGACAAATTAACCATTTGATTTATATTATGCGTAAGAGTATCAGGCTGCCAAAATTAGAATGTTTTTTTAAATTTTCTAACAATTTCTCAATAATTATTCTGAAAATAAAGACTGATTTAAATTTTATTGTTCTATATACTGCATCATCATGTTAAAAAAGGCAGTACATACTGAATGTGAAATAAACCTCTAGATTTGAGGGCTAATCTGAGGAGCAATATTCAATGTAGATACATATAAGTAAAGCCAAAATAATTATGAACTGTATATTTTAAAATAGCTAGGAGAGAGGATTTTGAACTTTCCCTATACAAAGGAAAGTTTGTGGTCAATTACCCATATCTGATCGTTATATACTGTACATGTGAATGAAAATGTCACACTATGCCCCATAAACATGTATATTGAAAAAAAAAGAAAAATGGGCTGGAGGCACAGTTAAGTGGTAGAGTGGGTACACCACAGCAAACCCCACCTCAATGCTTTTTTTTTTTTTTAATGGAACCAAATCAAACTTAAAAGATAAAACAAATTTCACAAACCCCAGTTAACTAGATTCCCACAGATTTCATAAAATCTTTCTCCCATGAACTCTGTTATTTATTGCCTGTACTATGGGTGAACGAAGCATTCATACATTGGCATATCTAGCCAGGTATAAATGTATAATTTTCTACAAGTCAAATAGTCTAAGTAAGCCAAAATGAGGTTTTTACGTTAGAACTACATTCAGAGCAAATATTAGAGTGAAAGAATCCCAGTTAATATTCAGAAAAGTACCTCCATATATTTTAGTAACCGTAACGAATAAAAATGCCAATCTTCCAAGTTTACTATAAATCTCAATTTGATTTTTGTGGAGGGGGTGACGTGGGTAGGAGTTATGGGGGTGTAGAGAGGGTACCAGGAATTGAATTCAGGGGCACTCAACCACTGAGCCACATCCACAGTCCTATTTTGGATTTTATTTAGAGATAGGGTCTCACTGAGTCACTATTGCTGAGGCTGGCTTTGAACTCACAATCCTCCTGCTCAGCCTCCAGAGTTGTGAGGATTGCAGGTGTGCACCACCACACTCAGCTTTAATTTGTATTTTTAAAATATATGTATATATATTTTTTAACAACAAGATTAACTCTTCCCTCTGATCTAGTGACTTAAGCAACTAAAAATTTGTCCTCGATTTTGTGACAATGCATCTAAAAACAAACATATTATTTAACGTGACTTACTAAACTTAAGTGAAATACCAGACTGAGTAATGGAAGATAAGAATTTATGTAGAAAAACAATTAAGATAGCAGATATACTATATTATTAAACTTGCTAGACAAAATCCTTTCTGAAATTTCCAAGGGAAATATAGATGATGCAAGGATAATATAAATAGTAATAAGAAATTTCAAATGAAATATCCTCAGCAAAAAAGCGTTAACCCCAGGGCTGGGGTTGTGACTCAAGAAGTAGAGTGCTCGCCTACCATGCGTGACACACTGGGTTCTATCCACAGTACCACATAAAAATAAAGATATTGTGTCCACCTATAATTAAAAATATTAAAAAAAAAATACAGTGCTAACCTCAAATCAAGAAGGGACACTTACAATAGCTACTGTTGACATTTCACTTTTTAAATGTAAAAGGAAAAAAAGCCTAATTTATCATGAGTTAAGAGAAGCCAAGATGCCTTATTTATCAGGAATATTATTAAATTATAAAAAGTTATAGACATTTATATATAGACTATATATAGACTCAGTAAAAGATATAGAAGTGCTCCCTTATCTACCATTTCTTTCTGTGGTTTCAGTTACTTGCAGTCCAAAATATTAAATGGAAAATTCCAGAAACAATTGGTAAGTTTTAAACTGTGCCCTGTTCTGAGTGGCATAATGATATCTCTCATTGTCCACTCCATCCTTCCCAAGATGTGAATCATCCCTGTATTCAGTATCAACATGCTACATATGCTACTTGCCTGTTAATCACTTAGTAGTTATCCTGGTTATCAGACTGACCTTTATAGTATCACAATGCTTGTGTTCAAGTAATCCTTATTTTATTATATAATCGTCACAAGCATAAGAGTAGCAGTGCTGGCAATTCCAATATGCCAAAAAGAAGCCATAAAGTGGGGATGGGGTTGTGGTTCAGCAGTAGAGTGCTTGCCTAGCACGTGTGAGGCACCAGGTTCAAGTCTTCCTTAAGTAAAAAGGTAAAAATTCTCAACCTAATAAAGAAAAAAATTGTATGCTGAGGCTGCAAAGATTTATAATAAGAGTGAATTTTTTTAACTGTGAAACTATGAAGGAAAAGGCACTCATGTTAATTTTGATGTTGCACCTCAAGCTAGAAAAGTTATGGCCATGGTGTATGACACACAATTAGGATGAAAAAGGGAATAAACTATAGGATTTGGTATTATACACAATTTAAGGCATTCATTGGAGATCCTGAAATTATTGCTGTACATAGTTCTAAGAAAAATAAATATTTATTCCAGTGAAAATCTTACCTTTGCTCTCGCAAAGTTGCTTGAATTTCACATACTCGGACTAAAGATCTTAAATTTTTTAATTCAGTACAAATTTCTGACATGTGAACGCTCCCCATGTTATGAGCTTCTTCACGCAATCTTGATGCCTTTAAAGAAATAAAAGATTCCATAAAATATACTATAAATAATATTAACATACACAAAATAAAACATCCTTATTTCCAAGAACTTTAGACCAAGATCATAGACTAATCCATTTCCTTTCAATGCACAAAAATGCTGGCAATTAAGGGGAAATGATTTTCTTTTAAAGAAACCATCTCTGATGGAAGTTACTTTGAATTCCCCTTCAGGTTTCTTACCAGAATAGCATTTCCAACCTCTGGATTGTAATAAATTGGAAGAACTCATAATTTGAGGTTCATAAAGGATACCAAGTCAACCAGAGACTGTCAACCTGTAGAAGAATCTCACTATTGTTAGATAAGGGAGAGAAAAATGGCAATGACTGGAATGTCCTAAAGTTTTAAATCTTTAAGCAAAAATGTTTCATTAACTTCTATTAGTCTAGTGAGAGTCGCTCATGAAATTCATAATTCTAACAGATTCTTAAACAACCAGAGAGTCAAGTCACTGAGTGGAAAAAGGACATCAGATTGAGCCACATCAATGACCTTGGAATAACTTATTGGGCCACAAACATAGGGGCTTCGATGGTAAATATGGGAAAACAGATTATCAACACTCTAGCAAATCCTAATAAAAGCAATGAAGAAAACAAATACAAGGCACTTATTAGCACAGCATTCAACACTGAGTACCTGTTAAAGTATTTCGTGAAACCAAAGAGCTCATAAACTACTCTCTACAGATCAAATATTTTTAAAATTATAGATAAAATTAGAAATGTTATCATAAATACAGCTCAAATTCAGTGGCCCAGATTGGATTTCCTACAATCAGAATGTGCTTTTTTTTGCCAGTGTAATAAAATATTTACTGTGAATCATGTAACATACCTGCTTCTCTGCATGATCTGCAGGCCATCCTTGAACATGTTTTATGAGATTTTCATTGAAGTGTGCTGCTAGTGTAGGTGTTAATGAACACGCAGGTCGGGCAGATGAATTCTGTGGTACAACTGCTGTATTTGATACATTACTACTAGAAGTATGATTTGGACCAGGTGATGGACTTCTCTGGCTACTGGAAGAAAAATGTTTAAAATGTAGAATGCATAATAATTAAAAGTGGTATCATAGAAACTACCTGTTAATATAGTTTATTAAATATACTTTGGCAATTCAAGTATATCATATATTCCTCAATACACTTCAGGGGAAGAAAAAAGCCTTTTTAAACACTACTGTCAAAATCAAATTGAAAGTAATTATATTTTTCAAATTCGACAGCAGAACCTGTTGATTTTGTATACCACAAACACTAATATGAATAAGAAATGGTCATATTTTATAAGTGCACATAAAAGGCATATGTGAATATTGTGTCTCATATATCCCTCTTTAGAGGGAAGGGTCCTTGTTCAACATCAGAACAAAGTTGAATCAGAGGATAGAATAATGTGAAGCAAAATAAAGGCATTTTATCAGACAGCACTGAAAGGAACATAGTGGCAAAATAAGACACAAAAAAATTACTCTAAAATTAGTTATCTTCTTTTAAAACTGAATGATTTGGGCCAGGGTTTGGGGATATGGTGTGAGAACCAAAAATTTAATCACCCAAATTGATTTCCTACCTGCTTCACCAGACTTGGCTCTGAATGAATTTCAGTTATTTCCAAAAACTAAATCTCCCAAAGGATGAAGAGTTTTCATCACTGAGGATATTTAAAATAACACTGCAGCCTCTAAAGACAATTTAAAAGAAGAATTTCCAAAAAATGTTCTGAGCAATGGCAACATTGCTGGAGTAAGTAGACATCATCCAAAGGTGATTATTTTGAAGGGAACAACTCTCATTTGGATGTATAAGTTCTGAAATGCTTGTTTAGAAAACAACAATAAAAACAACAGTTGAATTATTTTGCCACCTTGTAGCATGAAATAAAAATAGGAAAAAAAAATCAATCAAATGAAAACCATTCATTCAACAAGTTTTATTTAAGGTTGTATTGTTATGAGCCAAGTGAAAATACAACACAGTGCTACATAATTATATGAAAGGTCAGAATTGAAGCTATCAGTAAACTCTGATATACTCCAGTGGGAAACAGTGGTCCAAGTTTTGTATTTTTGGCTTCACCAAAACACTTGATGATGCAATCAGTAAAATATTGTAAAAGCATCTGCCCTTTTGGTACAATTATGCTATATTTTTAGCTCATAATTAAGTAGAATTTTAAAGAGCCATATTTCTTCAAAATAACCAAGGTTCACTTCATGACATAAAAGATTTGTCTCTGCATTTTGTTTATTTATTTATTACATATTCTGCAATATTGGGGATTGAACCCAAGGCTCTATCACTGAGCTACTTTCCCAGCCCTTTTAATTTCTTATTTTGAGATAGGGTCTCATAAATTGGCCAGGCTAGCTTTAAACTTGTGATCTTCCTGACTTAGACCCCCAAGCTGCTGGAATGACAGGTATGTGCCACTGCATCCTTTTTATCTTTGCAAATTTTATAACTCATAAAATTATACTAGGTTCTCCATGGATTTTTCCAAAATTGTTTTATTATACATATAAATATTAATATAGTAGAACCTCATATTAAAGAAAACAAAAATGCAGTCTAATACACAACTTACCTTGAGCGCTGAAGACTTCGAGGAGAAACAGGTTCATGACCTGGCTGCTTGTCAGCAGTTACAGGCTGCTGTGTGGCTGATTGTGACACTGGTCCTTGCTTTACTACTGGAGTACTAACCTGAAATGTTAAAATCTGGTGAGACAGGTTTCTAACACATAGGCACATAGCACAGAAAGTAGAGAAGCTTCTACTAGCATTACAATTTTCCTATTATTTCTGTTCTCTAGTGATTAAGAAATTGGTTATCTTAATTTTTGTTCCATAATATTAATACTAGTGATATTTAATAAGTGTAAATTACTGAGTAGGTTCTCAAATCCAATCACACCTTTCCCTTCAAATCTAGTTAGTAATCTCAAATACTATAAAATCAGATTTTTCACAAAGAGGAATCAGAGGGCCTGTCAAATTCACAACAAAAAGATAGTCAAGTTTTGAAACAGATCTCATTTCTTCATAAAATGGCCTAAGCCCATACAGTATTACTAACACCAACAGAAGAAACTAGTTCTCCAGGTTTCAGCAGTTTTCATTCCAATAAACTGCAATATCCCTCAATTTATTATTATGTCTGTTATCAATAAAAGTAATTATCTATGTTACATTACACAAATACTGATGCCAAGATTTCAACCACATATTGAGTATATACACCCACACACAAAGAATGAGTTATATACATATAATTCAACCTGAGAGGTCTTCAAAAGAGAAGTTACCTTTTAGAGACAGATCAAGAAGTCCATAATTGCCAATGGGGATAAATATGCTATTTATATTCAGATGTCATAGAAAAAAACAAGGCAGTTTAAAATATAAGCCTCAAATTTAGACACAAAGGTAGACAATGTGTAAAAAAAAAAAAAAAGGCAGCTATCTGCTTATGGAATTTGAAATGCTCATTTTATAAGTGCAGAAACCCAACAATATTACCTTTGGCCACTACTGCATTTTATTTATTTACTTCTTACATGCACGGCAATAGTTCTGTTTTGTTGAAATTCATAATTTTTAACCCCTCAAAATTCAGGCATTTAGTAACTACATAATAAACTAACTATAACCTGGAATTTTAAAAGTTCAACTAGACTAGAAGGGAATGATGGCTACCACCATCTTCAACTACTAGAAAAAATTTCAATTTCTACCTATAATTATCAGATAGAGTTTAGAAAAAAAAATTATATGAAACTCAGTATTTTACTGATAGCAAGTTTAAAGAGTAAAGAATGAGTGAAATTGCCTTTTACTTCTGAACTGCAGCCAGCCTCATGCTGTGGTGCAAAACTTTATGGTAACATTGTATGGTTCTGCTAGGTTCTGGTAGAAACAGAAAAGCAGTTTTCTGACTGTGGTTCTAAGGCATCAATCATCTATATAAAATTCTGCTTAGACACACACAGGCATATTGCCTTGCCAAATGTGTTCTGTATTCACAAATCCCTAGGTTTCAAATTCTTAATCTACCATAAAACTATCCTTTTTCTGAAAATTTAATTTTACTTAGTAAATGAAATAAACACTATGAATTTCAGGATGTGAAAATTAAATGTATATATGTGAAGCTCTTAGAGAAAAAGGTCACACTGAAAAACATTCTCTCATCTTTTATACTTTGAAACTCTACAAATACTTAGATTCACTTAGTAAACCATCTTTATCACACTCTCCATGCCACAAATTCCAACATCAATAGAGGAAACAGAATCAGATGGTGTATATAATTAGCACAGATTCAGCTCCCCTTTCTGTATCTATTATCAGTCACCTCTCATTCATTCCACTACCACCTCCTGGGCCTTTTTCTACAATACGGGTTCTAAAATATTATTGATTTTCCAAAAGCAAGCAGTTTCCCTCAAAGGTGACATACCTTTGGCTGTGATGAAACTGGAGGAGTACTAATCAAAGGTTTGATAGGGACTGTGTTAGTTTGAGGTGTGCTTATTCTTGGAGACACATAGGATCTTGGGGATGAAGCATCAGACGTTAAAGACATTGGAGACTGATTAGATGGCTGGGCTGGAAAACAGTGAAAGAATAACTTTAAATAAGCCAAAACCTTTGTAATATACATGAAGATCTCAGTATCATTCTATATAACCCATAATATAACCCATACCTCACATTTCCCCAGAGAACATTTTTCTGAAAAATTAAAAATGTGACATCTTCACTGGATGCCATGCTAACTAATTGCACTGTTAAATAGTATCATATTCAGTGCAAGGTCCACTCTCCCTAAGACTGGACCAGGAAGCTCAGCCTGAACCTATTCTCACAGGGTCCCATTTCTTTTTTACTATTCTTCGTTTAGACCCAGGCATCTCACAGTTCCCTGCCTCAGCCAAGACAGAGCATTTCAGATGTCTTTGCATCACTATACTTCCATTCCAGTTCAGGTATTAATGTTCAGTTTATCATTTTCTGACAAAGCAATCCTTTTTGCTCTTGTTTGTCGTTCTCTATTTCAATACCATTATGATGAAGAGGTATCAAATTCAAGCAGAAATTGAGCATTTCTGCATCTCTAGACAAAAATCAGCGAACATCAATCTCAACCAAACTTCAACTTGTCAAATACATGCAATGTTTTACAGAAACTGAAGATATACCAAAGTTTACTTTCAGTTTTGGAGTAAAATATCGTATTAGCAACTTAAATTCTGAATTAAATATAACTATGTTCCAGGTCTGATGGCAATACCTAAAATAAATGTCAAAGCATGCTTCATTTAAATAAAATAAAATG